AATTTTGAAAGTAGGTCTATACTAACATGATCTAATCTTTTATGCCATAATCAAGTATCATATTTTAAACTTGGTAAACATTTTTCTCCGCATTTAAACTTATGGTCCGTTTGATTACAAGAATAGAATTTGATAGAAAGAAATTGAATTTCAGGGAATTGAATTACCTAAAACTTGTTTTACTGAGAACTATCAAGTATATTGTGTTTGATTGGTATAATTTTTCAAATGAAAAATATTGAAATTTTAGATTTTTTGGTGTTCGTTTGGCTTTATTTTCCATGGAGATTGTCCATTAAATTGATATAATTTGTTACAATTTGGAATATAATTTGTTTCCATTACCCAAAAAAATTTAAATAAAAAAGCTGCCTAGAAAAGTCTTTCCCACCAAACTCATGAGAAAAGCTTTTCCTCAAAAACGAAGAAAATGTGGAAAATCAATTCCATGAAAAATTTAGTCAATCAAACATGCAAAAAGTTAGAAATGAAATTTAGTTTCCATTTTCCATGGAAAATAATGCCAAATCAAACAGGACCTTAGTGTTTATGACATAAACATCTTTACTTCGGATTTATGTAAACATCACATTTTTTGATATAGTATTCTCAATAAGACACTTGGAAGAATCAAATTTAATATAATAACATTCACCACAAAATTGACTAAAATTATGTAGATTATGTTTAAGGTTATTTACTAGAGAACATTTTCAATAAAGGGAGATGAATGATTACCAATAATTTCAATATCATTGATTTTTCTTTTGACATTATCTCCAAAAGTATTATGATCATCATCCTTTATTTTGAAACTTGACAATAAAAATCAGATGTCAGAAGGGTCAAGTTTTGAACAGTTGACCGCCGACAGTTTCGATCTTTTTACGTTTTGACCTCGTTTGATCCGATTCGAAAGTTTTGAAAGCATTGACTTTTGAAAAGTATTTTTAACTAACTTTTCAAGATAAAATCTATTTTCTAGTTCAAGTATCATTTTAAAAGTTATTTTTATATTTGATCAAAACATTGCATTAGAACGACTTTTAATGCACCAAATTATTTTTAATGCATAGAAAGATTTTGAACTTAAACATTCATTACCAGATATCAAGATATTAGTACATTTACATTTTATCTAACAAATCAAATGTTTGATCTTGCTCCAAAGTTTTGGCTCTTAGGTTCTTGAACGTGTGACTTTGATCTTAACCTCCTTCATGAGTCCGATTTGTGATGACATATTTTGATCTTTTGACGACCATTGATCAATTTTTCATCGTATGCTTTGAAAAACTATAATTACTTAAATTCAACTTGTTAGTAAATAAGATTAATTTATTTGTTATACTCAAAACTTTAAGATTATAATCAACCGTATGTCAACACATTCGGAGTTTGAAATTTGTTTTGGACTTGAAGAAGATAAGGAGTCCAAATTGCAATAGGAGATGAATAAATCATGCAAGGAAATGGACACAATGAACAAGTGTTTGCTACACGCTTAGCTCTCGTTCGAGCGCCCAGACCTGGAACATTGGCGTTCATTGATCGACGGCTGCGAGACCTTCGCTCGAGCGATGGTCTTATCTGAATTTTGGACCGTTCTCATTTTTGCATATTTTTGGATCATATTTTATCTCAAACGCTCTATTATTGTATAGATATCTTAGGCTATTGTTGCACCGAGGAGTAAACCTTTAGAAAAATCAATTCTTACATTCTACACAATAATTTGTAGTCCTTTATTATTGATATTAATAAATTTATCATCTTCTGCTCGTGGTATTTTTCACCACGTAAATCTTGTATTCTTATTTGATTTTCATATTACCATATTATTCTCGTTCCTTTATTTACTAACGAGCGGTATCTTTTCTGTGGATAATTCTTAAAAGGGGAAATTATAAAAAAATCAGGGGTTTAAAGATAGTTTTTTAAAAATCAGGTCCAATATTTATTTATTCAAAACTCAGGTAATTTATTAACCCAAATTATCCCTCATTCCTTCTCCCCTCTCCCCCTCTCGTTTCCTTCCTTCTCCCCATCCCCATTCCCCTCTCTCTCTCTCTCGTCTCTCTCTCTGTGACCCTCTCCCCCTCTCGTCTCCTCCCTTCCCCCCATCCCCCGACACTGCCCATCCCCCTTTCCCGATGCTGTCGTTCATAGAGTACGGTAGCGTCGCGACGCTGCTGTGAACGGCAGTGTCGCTACGCTACCGCGCGATGCCTCCCATCTCTATCGGCGCGACGCCTCCCATCTCCATCCTTCTCCATTTTTTTGAGTGGTGGTGATTGACG